TATTTTAGGTCATATGCATGGCCAACGCTTTTAAAATAATTTAATTATTGTATTCTAAAAATTAGAAATGACGTTGGTGTAATTATAGATTAGAGTTTGAAATATAATGTTGTAAAAATTAATAGAGTTGGAGATAGAATTGTAGCTCTTAAGATTATTGTAGATACTAAGATTTTTAATATTATAAGTGATTAAGCTCTTTAAGTAGGTTTAGATATAAGTTCTAAAGATAAATTCTGGAATAACTTAGAAAACTTAATACAAATGATACCTCTTGATGAAAAAATTTTTATCAGAGGAGATTTAAATGGACATGTCGGTAGAGTGGTAGAAGATTTCAGAAATATTCATGGTGGCTATGGTTTTGGAGTGATTAATGAAGAAGGTAAAACCATATTAGATTTTGCTTTACCGTATGATTTTGTTATTACGAATACTTTATTCAAGAAAAGAAATGAGCATCTTATTACTTATAAGAATGGATTTAATAAAACACAAATTGATTATTTTATTATGAGAAGAAGAGATTGTCGAGATCGTAAAGATTTTAAGGTCATTTTAAGTGATGATTTAAGTACTCAACGTCGATTATTAGTTTTAGATTTTAAGATGAAGAATTGTAAAATAAAGAATACCTGGATTCATCATCGTTAAATTAGATGGGGTACCTAAAAAACTTAAATAAAATTATTTTTATGAGTAAAATTCAGGATTTCAATTTTTGGGGTGTTCATGAAGAAGCAAATGTTTTGTGAGATAAAGTAACAAACACTATTAAACAAGTGACAAAAGATGTATTTGGAGAATCAAAATAAAAAATTGTTATAAATAAAAATAGTTGGTGGTGAAATACTAATGTGCAAAAAAAGATAAAATATAAGAAGTTATGTTATAAAAATTAGTTTAAATGTAAAAACTTAGACAACTGGGAAATTTATCAAAGGCCCGCAAGGAGTCTAAAAGAACAATCTATGACGTTAAAAATCCTGCTATTAGTGATCTTTATAATATAATAGATACTAAGGAGGGTAAAAAATATATGTATAAACTAGTCAAACAAAGAGAAAAAAGTAAAGATTTAACTCAAGTCTAGTGTATTAAAGATGAAAATAAAGAAGTGTTTTTTTCAGAAAAGGATATTCAACATAGGTGGGTGAGTTATTTTGATAAAATTTTTAATAAAGTTTCTAAAAATACAACCGACCTTAGTGGTCTTAATATTGTTAATAATAATGTAACGTTTCATTTTTACCGTCGCATTAGTAAAAAAGAAGATGAGGAGGCTTTAAAGAAAACCAAGGGTGGAAAGTCTGTAGGTAAAGTCTGTAGGACTTGATGATATCCTAATTGAAGTGTGGAATTATATAGAAGATTTTATTTAGGAGATTTGAGAGTTTCGTGGTTTTCTAAACTCATTAATATTATTTTAAAAACTAAACAGATGCCTAAGGAGTGGAGGAAGAGTATTTTGATCCCGATTTTTAAGAATAAAGGGGATGCACAAGAGTGTATAAATTATAGAGGAATTAAGTTGATGTATAATACTTTAAAATTATGGGAGAGGGTAATTGAACATAGGTTAAGGCATATTACAAAGATTTCTCATAATCAATTTGGATATTTGTCGGGTAGGTCACCATGTAAGCTATACATTTATTGGGAGGTTTGATGGAGAAGTTCAGAGATAATAACGATGATCTACATTTGATATTTATTAATTTAGAAAAAACTTACGATAAAGTTTTAAGAGATATCCTTTGGAGAGTTCTTGAGCAAAAAGTTGTTGATAGGACTTATATTCAAGTCGTTAAAGATATGTATACTATAGCTGTTAGTTGTGTTCGAACTGAAGGAGGATTGAGCAATTATTTTCCTATTTTTGTTGGATTACATCGGGGATCGGCTTTAAGCTCATAGCTTTTTGCTTTAGTTATGGTGGTCTTATTGGACAGGAGGATGTACCTTGGTGTATGCTTTTTGCTGATGATATCCTTCCCATGGATAAGACGAGAAAAAGCCCAGGAGAAACTTGAATTATGGAGGTCTACATTGGAGTCTAACATTGGACGTTTGAGTAGAACTAAAACTGAATACATGGAATGCAATTTTAGTAATAGTAGCTCTAGTGACAGAAGTGTAACTTTGGGTGATCAACAGAAGTGTTTGGGTGATCAAATTATTAAAAGGTGTGAACCATTTAGATATCTTGAGTCTATTGTTCAAAGCGATGGTGATATAGATTGGGATGTTAATGGTAGAATTCAAGTTGGTTGGTTGAAGTGGAGGAGTGTTTCAGGCCTATTGTGTGATAGAAAAGTACCACTTGGACTAAAAGGAAAATTTTATAAGATGGTGGTGAGACTTGCAATGCTCTATAGCGAAGAATGTTGGTCTTTAAAAGAGAAGCTTAATACTAAGTTAAGTGTTGCCGAGATGAGAATGATTAGGTGGATGAGTGACTTTACACTTAGAGACAAAATGCGAAATGAATATATCTGTGATAAGGTTGGTGTAGCTCCATTGACAAACAAAATTAGAGAGAGTCGTCTTAGGTGGTTTGGTCACATTAAATGTCGACGACTGATGATCTGATTAGGAGAGTAGGTGTTTTAGATTCAACAATGTTAAGAAAGGCAGAGGTAGACCTAGAAAAACTTGTGCTTATTGTATAAAAAATGATCTTAATCTATTAGAATTAAATGAAAATATGGTACTAAATAGGACGCAATGGAGAAAAAGGATTCATGCAGTTGACCCCACTTAGTGGGATTAAGGCTTTGCTGTTGACTTCTTGTTGTATTCTAAAAATTAGATAAATTATGATATACTTTTAAACCCTTTTAACCCTATCAAATCATATTTTCAAAATTAACTTTAAAAATTCAACATTAAGGTGATAGGCCCTAGTTTGATTAGAGCTTTGAGACAAGTTTGCTTGGTAACTTGCTTGGTAACTTGTCACTTGTCACAACTATATATGTTGACTTTTGCTATATTGAGATTTTTATGCACACTTTGGTGATATGATTGATGACATCCCCTTGTTTAACATTGGGCTAAGCTATTGCTCGGTCAAAGTTCTATTGGAGAATCCTTTTAGTGCACATCTATGGATTTCTAGGACTAGTTAGGATGCATATGTTTTGCACATGACTAGTTTGGTTACTTTTATGTATCAGAGAGGGTGATATTCATTTTGCAAATGTAAACATATGACCGTTCACACTTCTGTTTTTACAGGGGCGTCAAATATTTTCAAATGTTGAATTAGGTATTACCGATGTGATAGTAACTATTTTGTGATTTTATTTTTGTCCCATTATATAAAATACGTGTTTACTGTGCAACGCTTTGATTATACATATATTTTTTTAGTTAGGAAAGTCCTGTATGTATAATAAGCTAATTAATTGGTAGTGTATTTCCGATCGAGTACTACCACATAATTTTATGTTTGAAAATCTACTGGATCAAGTTGACTAGACGTACTTTGGATGAACCAGATAGCAATGATCAGGAGCAAAGGGAATTTAGGCTTGCTTATTATTTCAATTTAATTGGCATATTGATCTAAGACTATATTCGTTCTTTACTGCTCAAATGCCTTTTTTATTTTCTAGGGATATTTAGTAAACTTAGTTGTATTAATTTGTTTATTTATTTATTTTAGCTTAGATGGCTTCTCGATCTTGTGTACTTTTCTTATTATATACAGTTTACAGGTTGTCTACGTTTTTATTTTTTCTGTTGTGTGTGGTAAGTCTGAAAATCCCATGTTTGTGACAAGTTTTCTAGAGAAAAAATTTTCTTCCAACTTTCATAAATTGATTAATCAACTTAGAAAAATATTTTATTGAAAATTTACTGCGTGATTTTGTTCCAACTTTTTGAATGAAAACTCTCTTTATATCTCTTGGACAGGCATAGTGTAGAACTTACCATTGGTCAAAACCCTTGAATGTTAGTTCACATTCTTAACATGGCTAGTCTCCTTGCATATAGTTAAATTATCACACTTTAGGATAGATAACCAATATGCATATCGTGTTGATTAAGATAGAGCTTTAGCTTAGACATGAGTTTAGTTGATATGTTTAGGGGTTTAGTATGTTAGGTAGTGGCTGTTTTGAATAGGATTGTAAGTTCAATTAAGTAGCTCTGTTAATAATTGTGCTATTTTATTCTCTTATTTTCATATGTTTTTCTTGTACAGCAATAGACTGGATGTCCTATATCTTTTCTGGACCCATCACCCATAAATCATCTGTCTAGGAATCCCACCTTTTTAATCTAGCTTGAGATCATGTGATTCATGGTTATTGACGTCTTCTAAATAATTTTGAGCTCGATGACTTGGGGTAACGGATCCATTAAATCTTGCTTAGATTAATTCTACATTTTCTTAGATTCATTACCCATATCTGGCCCTTTGAGTCATTTCATGCTTTTGTGAATTTGGTGATTTTAGGATTGTTATTGCACATGTTTTCTATTTTGAGAGAGAGTTATCCCACTTGTTTACGATGATTAACTCTCTGCCTTAAAACATCAATTGCTCTATTTGGGTAACATTCTTTGAATCATAATATATCTTTATAGTAACTCAAGAAAATTAATTTAAGTTTATTTTCTATATTAAGAGTGTCTTCTGGCGGTTTTGTAGAGTGTAATTAATTTTAGGGAGGTTAGTCTCTTTGGTAGATTGATATTTCAAGATTTTCTCTTTGACTTGACCTGATGCTAATGTTATGACTTCTTGTGTGCATTTTTACAAGTTTAGGTAAGATTTGTTGATCCTACCTCAACGTTTCTCTCATTTTGTCCTTTCTTATGGGATCTTTTATATTAAAAATGCACTCTTACATCTTCATTTTTTTCCACTCAACATGGTTGTGTGGCTATATTTGCTGCATACACAATAAAAGCTACTGTTTTTCTATCAAGCCGAAATATTTTGAGTCAAGTGAAAGCTTTGGTGATAACTCAGGTCAAAATTTCAGGAAGCATATGTTAAAGCTCTTGGAAGGGGATTCTCAGCTGCACCTTTCAGAAACTTTACAGTACGGCACCAGGTAAAAGATGGCTTGCAAATTGAAACACCCAGTTTCAATATAGGCTATCACCTCAGCTCCCTCAATAAAAGCCTTTGATTATTCTGGAATTTCAAACCAAATTAACCTTATTTACGGTTTGTAGGCATCCAAAATTGCAGTTGAAGTTCACTCTGATTCTGAAAACCTCACTGAAAATTGGCAATTTGCCCTTCTTGAATCACCTCATCATTACGCTTCCATTTGCACAGAAAAGAAGGGTGAAAAGGAAGGTTTGTGTATCCCCTGTCAATTTTTATTATAGTCTCAAGTTTCTTCTCTACATTTTTGTGACCCACATGTTTTTTAGGTGATGGAAATGAATCAATAAAGTTGAAAGTATTGAAGACTATTCCTTTTGTAGAAGATGAGTGTATTTTAGAAAATGATACAATTGAGGTTGTCACTGGTGCCGTTTGGTCTCGGCTATCCTGACGCTATTTTTTCTCCATATTTTTACAGTTTCAAATAAATAAGATAAAATTTTTGAAAGTATCCTTTCTCAGTTGTCATATATGGGTTACTAAAGTGACGTTAGAATGATTATATATGTCATTTTGTTGTACTAGACTGATATATATTAGAAAATTCATAGATTACCTTTCAAAATCTTCAGTTGCATCTGTCAACCAAACACGTAGCCGTTCCAAAGTTTTCCTCCTAATATTTTGTATTTTATAAAGCTGTATAAACTACTATGAATGTAAATTGGGCCATTCGATGTTTCTGTTCCAATCTATTCTTTGACCAATCTAATTGGTTCTCTATTGCAAAAATAGACCACCATAAAATTTAGCTACAAGCAGGAAGCGAGCTGAAGTGAATTCAGTTCTTATAATTTTCAAGCTAGACTTGCCCATCACTATCCACTGAATTCCAGCGGTGACAAAGAAATGTGAGTTGATAGGCTTAGTTAAGCCTTTGAGAGTTTCTCAGACATGGATTTCTTCAATAATGGTTTTTAAGGTTTAATATTTCTTAATTAATCATATTGAAGTATTTTCCTTAGACTTAATGATGAATTCGATGCATTGCAACTGTGTTTGATTTTCTTCCATTGATGTCTGGGCTGAGATTAGTGTTTTACGCGTGTTAAATGGGGTTGAGAAGTGCTCCAGCATCATCTCGGCCGCAAATCTAACCTGATACAAATGATTCACAGCTGGTGAACCGAGAGCTACAGAAGTGGTCCTATCAACTTACATTGTTTCACATATCAAGGTTTAAATGTAAATGTAGGATGTGATGCATAAGATCACGCACAGCCTAAATTAGTCAAAATTTCATCTCTTTTGATGAAAACTTGGAAACATGCAAATTTGAACGGAGTTATAATTTAATGGTGGTCTAAATTAAAGGGATTAAATGAGATTTTTAAACCATCGAACATTGTAATTCTATTGAATTCACACAACAATTAGAAAGTCAATAATGCTCGCAAACTAATTCTGAATTATGCAGAAAAAAAATATTAAGCAAGGTAAGAGGCTTCTAGTGGATATAATCATCTATTTCCTTCTCAAAGTCGACCATTTTTTGAGTCCCTAATCACGGCTTAAATCTTACCAGGAAGGCTGTTTAAATGAAGACACTTGTAACACTTGGGGTTCTTTAACTTGCATAAAAAGGTATATTCCCTTTTAAAAGGATGTTGGTATTTTCTGCTGTAATGATAAAGATTTGAGTGTTATGCGTGTTAATATAGATGTTTTGGTGTTAGATATATTAACACATAAGAGTTGTTTGGTATGTACGCAAATGCTGCACTTCTTATTAATTAAAAATCGAGCTGTGAAATTAATGCATTTATTCATAGCTTCTAGATAAGTCTTATTTAATCAAATCTAGATCAGACAGTCAAACTAAATTTCTGGTGAAAATTATGTTTACTTCCCAATCAATTTGTTCAAATCAAATAAGCCCATATGTACGTCTGAAATTTAATGAACAAGATTGTTAAGTCATAATTTGATCGCATAAATGGTTGCCATATTCCACATAAAAAGTATAAATTTAGGTGAAAGATTTAAATTACTTTAAATTAGTGTTAAATGTGTTTCAACCATGCATTCATATAGTCAATGGTAAGAATAAAATGAAATTTTAACAATTATACAAATATTTCTGTTAAACGAAGCGTAAGACCGATTTGATGTCAATTTTATTTTATTTTATTTTTATTTTTTGTTTTAATTTAGTTTTGTTTTTATGGACATAGTTGTTCATCCCCTTTTTAATACATAAATTAAAGGTTGTCTTGCCCTTCGGGACCTTACTAATATTACGACCAAGTATTAGCTTAGGAGGAGACATGAAATAATTTCAAGCCTATGCCATAAGTATCATACCCGAAGTAAAAAAAAGTTAATGAACTTATTTTCACGCCTTGTCTTAAACCTAAATTCAACCAAACATTTAAAAAAAAAAAAAGAAAATTAAATCCAATGCTCTGTTAAATCGAGTTTTCACGCCTTGTCTTTTCTTCCAGTGTTCCGTCTCTTTCACAATGAAAATCCAGATCAGTAAATCCGATTGTGAGGTAGATTTAAGATTTTCTTTGGCTGTCGCTCGCAAGGTCATCATTGTTGCACGGAGTATCAGATTTACTGAATTTGATAAGTCCTATTTAATGCTAATTCAAGTTGCAGCCAAGCACCCCTTAAATTAGTAGTTTATGGGTATGAGGACATTAACGAGGTAAGTGGAGCTAAATTTGTCATATATATATATATATATATATATATATATGACTAATGCAGATCTACTAGAGCTCAAGAGTCTTATGGATGATACTTTTGTTACTACGGGTAATGGTCAGCATCTTACCAATCTGCTAGCTGGATCCCTACCGAGAACTAGAGCCAGAGGCAAGTCTAGATTGGGATGACCCACACTTTTTCAGCGACTGGGTGGTTTTTTTTATTTTTTTCTTTTATTTCTATATGTCTATATGTACCCATCGTTTACTTTTTTTTTTATGTGTGTTGTACCGTATGGGGTCATTAAATTCATTATCCACACTTTCGAGCTTTGTGGCCTCATGGATTGGTGTGGGAAGCATGAGGACACCGAAGAGAAGATTGATCAATGTGTTGTGATCCTGATTTTGATCCACTAACTTAGGTTCAATTGGATTGGATCAAAAGGCATGTCCTTAGATTGCATTGTTTAAAGGTTAACCCACTTAGATGACTTGAGGTAAGGGTTTGCACAAATTTATCTTCCCAATGTCGGAGCCAATTGAGTGAATTTGGTTCATCGGATTGCTAAGTCTTTAAATTGCATAAGCTCTTTAAAGTTTTCTTTTTTGTTGGTCAAGTTGATCTATGCCGTGATGTTGTCTGGTTCAACAACAACAATAACAAGCCCTTTTTATCCCACTAAGTGGGTTGGCTACATGAATCCTTTTTCTCCAATGTGTCCTATTGATATCATATTTTCATTTAATTCTCATATTTTCATTTAATTCTAATAAATTAAGGTAATTTTTATACACTATGCCCTAGTCTTTTTAGGTTTACATCTATCTTTTTTAACAAACGTCAAATCTAAAACTTGTACTCTCCTAACCAGATTATCATATGTTTTACATTAATGTGATTTAACCATCTAAGATGACTCTCTCTAATCTTGTCTGCCACTAGAGCTACACCAACCCTTTCACATATACATTCATTTTGCATTTTGTCTCTGTGTCAAGCCACTCATCCACCTATGCATTCTCATCTCAGCAACACTTAACTATAATAACTCCAATGTGCAAAACTGAGGATTCACAAAACTTAGAATTAACTTGAGTTAACTTCATAGCTTTGCTTCGCGGCATAGTAATTAAGGGATCCACCAAGACTGAAGCAAAGGGGATTTGTAACAATTTATACAATAGGTCCAATGGCTTGGAGATGCCAAAATGAGAAAGTGCAGCAGCTAAAAACTTTCCAATAGACTGTATATGTGGAGGTCTAGAAGAAGATCCAAATGCTATCAATGATTTTAGCTTTCTATTTAATAAATAATAAGTTTATTATTTTACTAATTATATATTAATTATGATTTGTTTATCATATCATAATATTATAACATTTAAAACACTATTTAGTTCAGCCAGAAAAAAAGCATGAAAGTAGAACATAACTGGAAGAAGATATGAAAGAAGAAGCAGCAGCACATCAGCACTGATTTATACAAGAGAGAAACTAAAACTGTGATTTGCTAATCTTCTTGGATATCTTTTGTTTGCTTGTAAATGGAAAGCCTTTTTTTTAAGAAAATTTAATTTCATTTTGGCTCATTGTAGGTGTAAAATGGAATTCATTACATTTGAAGGGATCTTGAAAATGTTTTTAGAGCTTAAAATTATTGTAGATTTCTAGCAACATACAACCAAAGTATAAAATTAGAAAAAATTATTATTGTATGAATGAATTTTTTATCACCTCAAGCATCGAAATGGGGTCCTCGATTCAATTGCTTGACGTCATAGAAGAATAGAGATCTACCAATAATAGAAGAAATATACATTATTCTGCTCTTGCTAGTTTCAACTGATCTAACGTTGAATATAATTTTGGTATTAGTAGATCTGGTGGCAGAGAATGCAATTTTCTCTAAGGGAATCCACCATAGTTGAATGAGTTTTCATGGGTCGACTGTCGTTGCTTATGGAACTGAACCTGGGTGATCTATCCATGACCATGATGAAGCTTGGGTGAAATTAAGTCGAGGTGTTAACTGACTAATGTTGAAGAAGCAACAGATGAGTTGTGATTAGGGTTGAAATGCCAATCGAAACCATAACTAGCTAGTTCTACTTGAAATGCGTTGAGGTCGACTAGTGAGACGATGGGTAATAAGCTTAATTTTCAAGGGAAACAACTCGGATCATCAACTAAGCCCCTTAAATGACCATTAAATGATAAAGAAGGTAGGGGTGCAGAGAAAACCAAGAGGTTTGCCTAGAAGCACCAACCATTGAAGCTAGCATAATAACTCACCGATCTAACACTATTGCACCGAAGATGAATGGGGCTAAACGATTTATCGAAGCTGTGAGATATAAAAATGCATCGGTAGGAGAGCGTTTCGCCTTAGAGGGAAGCAACCGCGCAAGCAGGTGTGGATGAAGGAAAAGTGAGAATGTCGGCTTGAGTAATGCAAACATTGGTGAGAGTCCAATGCCCTCAAAACATAAGGGTTCCTCCACAAGGTTCTTCCATGGAGGGTGAGCGAGGGCCTAAGATCAGGCCGAAAGGCGTGAATATTCCTGAACTAACCCCGCGAACAGAGGAGGCGAGGTTAGCCGAATGATGATTATCGATTCAAGGGCCCAATGCCACCTTGTTTTTCAGGATAAGAAAATAAGGGGTATTGAAAATGCCTTGATCACATGTTTGCTTCCGGGCGCTACGACACTGAAGTAACTTATGTCGTGCTCTCAGGAAGAGCTCGAACGACCTTCAACAAGAGGGTACATGTACTGAAATCGACACAGGTGAACAAGTAGAGAATATCTATTGGCAAGAAGCAACTTTCTGTAAGGAACTCAATAAAAAAAGGCCAACAAATTTTGGATAGGGGCCTCAAAAAGGGGGTTGCAGTGACCAGGCCCAGCTAATTGTTCACCAAAAACACATGTCTTCGTAAAGTCGTGTGACAATGTATGGGGGTTGACAATGGAAGGTCAAGGAAGTTGGTGATCTGATGACAGAAGATCTAACGACCAAAGCCGTAGTGAATGGCAATCGTAACTACAACGATCTTAAGATAGCAAAATTCCTTGTGAGGTAAGTTCCGATCGACACGAAAAGCGCAATGATCTTGACACTATCTCAGAGAAAGGATCAATAATATAGACATGTTCGTGATAACGTGAACTACCTGCACCTAGACATAAAACCTTATGAAGCTTTATTGTTCCCTGGAATTGGCTTTTGCTTTTTCCTGTGTAGCTTAAGTGGAGTGAGATACCACTCAGTAGAGCTAACATTGTGTCAAAACCTACGACCAAGGGATGGTCTCAAGTAGACGGTTTCTTTGGGGTGCGAGCCTCCAAAAAGGTAACAGAGGCGCAAAAAGGTTTTTTCAGGCCAGATGGAAATCGGACCTCGAGTTCAAGCGCATAAGGGAGCTTGACTACAAGACCTACCCATCGAGCAAGGATGAAAGTCGACCTTAGTGATCCGACAATGTTGAATGTATGGTCCCTCACTCATCATGAGTTTGCATGGGAGGTAAGATTTGGCGCCTCAACGTTGGTTCTTCGTCACCTGGAACTGTAGTATGTTCCAAGGGTTGGGTTGTTCACCCATTAAAGCGGTACGCGACTGGGTTTAGAATGTTGTGAGAAAGTTCAATCATATTGATTATTTTATGTACTATTTAATTTCTTATGTATTTTTGTTCAAATACATATTCATTGTAATGAATCATAACTATGGAACACGATTCTTAATAAATTGATTCCAAAATAGCATATCCAATTTAGGAGAATCCCACATAAGCTACAAATGTAGAATTCATGCATTGGTCTTGCAATTTTGAACTTTTTCTAATATGTAAATAAATTGCAAATATTGTTCAAGCAATAAATGCCAAAGTTTCCTTGGGTTCTCAATTCCAATATGAATCACATGCTCCATTAGGCCATACTGCTCCAAAGTATGCCTATGATTAAAAAGGTAGATCCTAAACTAATGACAAGATAACTCCAAAATTCAAAATGCTGAATTGATATTTTTAAAATTTTTGAAATGAAAGAAAATGAGTTTCCTTCCACTTTAAAAAAAAAAAAAATCTTGTTTTTAAATATATATATATATATATATATATATATTTGAATTGTAATTACTATAAGAGCTAACGATAATAACAATCTATACGAAATAGCTACATAGCTCAACATTTATCATTAACCATTGAGATTGTAGGGCAAGTACTAATATTGTGGGTTGATGCATTTTAGTTGAAAGGCGTGATGTGGAAAAATCTTAGGGGATTAATTCTTTAGAAGGACTGAATGTTTTAGATATCTCGGCTCTATTGTTCAAAGTGATGGTGATATAGATGAGGATGTTATTAGTAGAATTCAAGTTGGATGGTTGAAGTGGACGAATGTTTTCGGTCTATTGTGTGATAGAAAGGTACCACTTAAATTTAAAGGAATTTTTTATAAAATTGTGTTGAGACCTACAATGCTTTATGGCGCAGAATGTTGGCCTATAGAAGCGAAACATAAAACTAAGTTAAGTGTTGCGGAGATGAGAAAGCTTAGGTGGATGAGTGGCTTTACACTTGGAGACAAAATGCAAAATGAATATCTCCTTGAAAGGGTTGGTGCAATTCCAATGAGCAATAAGATTAGAGAGTCGCATTAGATGGTATGGCCACGTTAAACATCAACCATCTGATGAGACCCACTTAGGAGATTATATATTTTGATTTGATTTATGTTAAGAAAAGTAGAGGTAGCACTAAAAAGATTTGGGCATGTTGTATAAAAAAAATGATCCTAATTTATTAGAATTAAATAAAAATATAATAATATGGGGACCAACTTGATTATATTATTGATATTTCAATCGTATTTATTATGGAATTATAAATTTTCTAGATTTATTTTGAGAAGTTCAGATAATATGTGGCTCTCAATAATATTAGTTTGGTATCATGATTTATCAAAATATTGGAGCGAATGACTTTCACATAAATGCACATTATAAATAAATAATAACATGTTGAATGTGTCGTTTTCATAGTAATACATCTTAATTTCAATTTAGAACCCATCAGAAAATTGTGCGCTAGACCTCTTAAAGTCGATCAACAATATTTTTTCAAACAAGTCTCGATCAGCGACAAAAATATTACATCAGGAGTTTCAATACATAATTACATCAGGACTTCAATAAAAACGTGTCATGTGTCCGGATAAGGCAGATCATACATTAAAATATAGATTTTTTTTATTTATTTAACGGGTCTTTCATATGACGTGACACATTTTCATTGGAGTGCTATTACAATTATATATTAGGACTTCTAATCTAATATTTTTTCCAATTAAGGGGTCCGATCGTTCACAAGGAAGCTAAGCCTAAGATCGGTTAAGATTGCACGGTCTGGTCTAACTTATCAAAACTTTGATTTTGATTAAATTATATTCAACATATATAATAATTAGTTTATCTGAAAACAGAAGCACTTTGATCAAACATTAAAACATAAATCTCATAATGATTAAAAAAAATCAAATTGATCTTTAATTAAATTCATAAATTAATTCAGAAGTTATTGAACTTTATTATTAATCCCCATCCCTCCCATGCAGGTGGAGGATGATGAGTCCCTCCCTTCAGTTGGCAATAACAATCCAACCACCATCATCATCCCCAATCCCCATCCGCGCCACCGAGCAACAATGCCTCTCCCTCCTCCATTCCACCTCCTCCCTCCCCAAACTCCTCCAAGCCCTCACCTTTCTGCTCAAATCCGGCCTCCACTCCAACATCCTCATCCTCACACGTTTCGCCGCCGCAGCTTCCTTTCTCGGCCCCTCCGCCACCGCCGCCGCCGCCGCCCTCCTCTTCTCCCCTTCT